AAAGAAAACCTAATGAATATATCGAATTAGGATCTATGAAATAATATTCGAAATAATTATATTCTCGATCTTATGTTAGTTAATGAAATATGATTCCTTGGAATACGAGCAGACTGATTTCCATAAACTGGAATATACCTATACCTAGGATAGAAATGGAGGGCGCTTGACTTGTCCGTAGAGTTTGCAGTAAGTGTTCTACTAACGGTCAGAACACTACTAGTGGCAGTCTGCTGTGGAATGGTACTCGAGGGTTTGCTAATCGTAAGATAATTGCATTCGGTAACTCTGGTCCAAATAGTAATCGGATTCTCTAGGTTCGAGTTAACTGTATTCTGTATTCTCTCTCTCTCTCTTTCTCTTTCTCTTTCTCGATCGTTATTTCAAAGAGTTCGTTAAAACAACTATACTCGTATATCTCAACAGCCGAAAAAAAAAAAATAAAGAAAGAAAGAAAAAAGGTTAACCATTAAATTATTATAGTTTGATACTTTAATTAGTTGCCTTTTTTTTTTTTTTTTTTAACTTCATTGACAAATTATTTATATATACTACTTAGTGTGTATTATTACTTTGATACACGTAAATTGCAATAAAACAATCACACCAATTTCATTTCACTTTTCCTACTGTTTCTTTCTTTCATTTGTTTGTTTTTTTTTTCCTTTTTTTTTCCATAATCATCAAACGTAATTAGATTAGGTAGAATAAGTAAAAAAAAGAGTAATTTCTTGGTTAGCAGGATTAGGGGTACTTTCCGTATGATTCCAAGTGCTACGAATTAAGCCCGGTCACACACACTGCGGTTAGGTCAATTATACCAGTGAGAAAAATGCGATGAAATTAGGTCGGAAAAACCAAAAGAGGGAGAAAATAAATAGAAAGAGATAAGAAGGGTGAAAAGGTGGGACACACGTGAAGAATTAAAAATAGTACTTCTAAAAAAAAATAAAAGAATGAACGAGCGAGAGAGAAGTAAAAAAAAGTCGTAATAAGTAAAAGAAAAAAAGAAAAAAAGCACGCGAATAGTATCAAAATCATTGATGCAAACTATTTATGGGGTATTTTCAAATCAACCAAACCCCTTTCGATTTGACTGAAATGTATTTTTTTCATTATTTTCTATCTCCCATTGAAAAATTTCTCAGAGAATTATTACAAATATTTCTTCATACACTCAAAAAAAGAAAAGTAGACAAAATGGGCATTGTAAGCAATGTGGGTAAAGTGGGGTTAGACAAATGGAAGGGGAAAATGATTAAAAAAAAAAAGTTTCAGTCAAATCGAAAAGGGGTCGTCGGTGTCAAGAGTGATCAATTTGACATGGAATGCACCATATATATATATATATATATGTGTAGGTAATTAGTCTAGGTAGTAGTAATCTAAAAGGAATTCAACTATCAACTATGGCAACATGCCCGACACGAATAAACGAACGACTTTTCGTGCCACGTATCGTGGGTTTTCAGCTTGTCCTCTCACAAGTATAATCCTTTCTGATGATGCATCTTAAGAGAAATAAAATAACAGAAGAAGGAGGAGGAGAGTAGAACGCATCGAATCTCATGATCTCGTTTATATCTCGTATAGATACATGGGAGAGAGAGAAAGAGAGAGAAAGAGAGAGAAAAAGAGAGAGAGAGAGAGACTCGATTAACTCTAACGGTTCAACTTCTTTTTCTACATGTATAGTATATTATATTATATACATATATATATATATATACGACAATGATGCTAAGAAACTGAGACAGATTATATAATTTTTTTTTTTTTTTCTTTATATTCTCATTCCCCTTCTTCTTCTTTCTCTCTCTCTCTTTATGTTCCTTTCCTTCCTTCCTTTCTTTCTTGTTTTTTGTTTATGGTCAAAGGTGAACTAGGAAGAACTTTAAGAAGCATGTGTTACTTAGAAAAGGTATGCCTAGTCATCGACTAATTTGCACTTAACCGTACGTAAAGAAAATTGTCTACATTATATATATATGTAATATCTTTAAAGTAGTAACTTTATACTAAAAGGGGGTGGACAGAAGGGGGAGAAGAGGCTCGCGATATTCTACCAACATGATTCTTGTAAATGAATATAGCAATCCAACATAACTAACTTGGTTACGCAAAGTGAACACAATTATTTTTATTAGAAAATAAAAAAAATCAAACAAATTGATATTAATGGAAAAGAAGGTGGGAGTGGAGGGTGGTTACTTTTATCAATTGAAAATATAAACGATGATTCGTGTAATCATAATTTAACGATAATTAAAAATTAGATTATCAAAGAAAAAATATTCTCCATCCAAAGTAACTTACTTATATGCAATAGTTAAAGGAATATGAAAAAACAAAATTATTTGCTAACTGATATTGCAATAGGAAAGAAAAGGGGAAATTCTTTTCTAGTTTGATCATCGACAAAATAAAATCAAATAAAAGAATAAGAAGAAGTATGATCGTTTCTCGTTTAGTTTCGTATAGTTTCGTTTAGAGAGTTTCGTTTCGAGTCTCCTCTTGAACTCTTCCACAACTCTCTTGGTTAACTTCTTTTTATCGATCTTAACAGTTTTCAGTTTCCATAGGAGCGTTCGTACCAAGTTTACTACTACCCTATACCATTTACACGTACATATATATACATAGACAGATACATAGATATATATACATGGATAGATATTGTACGTTCGTTCAAACGTTTCCAAGTATCCTCTTTGGATATATCGTAAAACCGCATGCGGAGATTCGAGGGAATGGTGCGGACGTACTTTTACATGCTCACCGGATATGTGGCTAAAGTAGCACGTCTCTCTATCTCTTTCTATCTTTCTCTCTCTATCTCTTTCTAGCAAGAATCCTAATTTGGCGAGAAACATTCTTCGTCTTTTGCCTTTGCTTGTCGCCGCGAAATGTTTTACTACGTTAATCTTCTACCTTCCACTACTACTATTACCCCTTTTTTTATTTTTTTTATTTTTTTTTTTTTCATATCACCCCGCTATTTCTTAGCTGTGTATTTAAATTTTCAATTGACGCGTATCAATATTTAATTATAAAAATTGTATTGTAATATATGTAACTTTGTAATATAATTGTAATAGACAATTATGTGTTTCATCTATTTTTGTGAAAATTATTCTAAATATATTTTCTATATTTAAATCAACAAACTTAATTATTATTTTATTAGCTATGTGTTTATATATATTTTAAATTGATGATCCTAGTATTTAACTATAAAAATGTAATTTTTTAATACAACTGTGCATCTTTATTCATATTTAAAACACTAAAACATATTATTATAAATATATTTTCTATTTTTTTTTTCTATTTTTATCAAAACGTTCAAATCTTGAACCCGACCGCAATCCTAATTCTACTTTTTAAACGAACAGACTTAATTATTATTTATACCGATCATTAATTTAACGAACATACTGACCTTAATTAATGGGAAATATTTCGTTGGGGATTTTTTTTTATGTTCACATTGTTATTTAAATCCTTTTCTTTTGTTGTAAATTTTCCAAAGAAATAAAAACATATATTA